CTAAATAAAATAAAGCGAAGAATAGAAGATTACTTTCTAGATATAAAAAGGATATTTTAAATATTTTATTATACCCTTTAATCTTACTAATATACTTATAATATTCTAGAATATAATTAATATAGTATTATATAAGTATATNATATAATACTATATAAATATATTAATATCTATATAGTTATCTACTTAGATAATATCCTTATCTTCTTATTTATACTTAAGAAGTATAAAAAAGATATTCACTATATCTTATAAACCTTTTAAAAAACTAAACTCTTAGTTAAACCTAAAAAAAGTAAATTTTATATATAAAAAGTAGAANAAAAGTAGAATACCTTAGATTTACTATTACTTTTAGAAAGGTTTATATATTAAGAAATAAAATTAAAGCTATTAAGGAATAGCTAATATTTAATAACCTTAAAGAAGTCTAAGGATTCTTAGGTTTTATTAACTTCTATTATAAATTTATTAAAGACTATAGTAAGATTAATATAGCTCTTATTAGTTTTAGCTATAAAGATATACTTTTTATATAAGAAGAACTATAATAAATAGTATTCTAAAAGATTAAGGACCTTATTATTAGTAAACCTATCTTAATTATCTTAGACCTAATAAAATAGTTTAAAATAGAACCTAATATATCTAACTATATAATTAGAGTATAGCTATTATAATAAGACCTAGAAGGATAACTATACCCCTATACTTTCTTCTCTTATAAGCTCTATAAACTTAAGCTTAACTACTAAATCTATAATAAAAAGCTTATAGTAATTATTAAAGCCTTTAAGAAATAGAGACCTAAATTCTTAAGAATAATTTATAAAATACTTATATATTTAGACTATAAGAATCTTTTATACTTTATAACCTTAAAAGTGCTTAATAAATAATAAATCTAATAGTTAGAATTTCTCTTAGAATTTAACTTCTAAATAATCTATTAAAAAGGATTAAATAATAGTAGAGTAGATACTTTTAGTTAATAACTAAACTATAATATCCTAATACCTAAAGAAACCTAAGTAATTCTTAAATAATAAAATAATAGAGACCTTATACTAATAGCTAAACTCTTAATAATAACTAGATAATTTAGTATTAGTTTACTTAATAAACTAAATAATAAAGTAATTATAGAATTTTATATATACCTTATATATAGTTATTAAGGAATTATAAAAACCTAGAAATAACTATAATAATAATATAGAGAGAAGGTTATAAGAGAATATATAGTAAAAGTAATTAAGAATTATAAAGTATACCTAAAAAGTAAACCTACTTAATATTAACTTTATAGTATACTATAACCTTTATTTATATTATAAACTATTTAGTAATCTATATCTCTTAACTTTATTATTAAACTACTAAAGTTATAAAAGCCTTTTATAAGAATATATTTTAATAGCGTTCTTATTATAGTAAACTAACTTATAAAGTATACCTACTTTATCCTATATAAAGAAATAAGTAATACTAAAGAATATATATATATTTTCCTTAAATATATTATTACTAATTATAGTATACCTAAGGAAATTATATTAGATAGAGATAAGATCTTTACTTCTAAGTTTTAGAAGTTAATTATATTATAACTTAGTATTAAATAATTAATATCTACTATATTTTACTTATAAATTAATAGATAAATAGAATAAATTAACTAAATCTTTAAAATATACCTCTATACCTATATTAACTATAATTAAGATAATTAGGTTATACTTTTATTAATTATTTAATTTACTTATAATAGTATAATTAGAAAAAGTATTAAGGAATCCCCTTTCTACTTTAATTATAGCTTTAAACTAACTACTTATAGAGAACTTTAAATAAACTTAGTTATAGTTAAAGCTACTACTTTAGTATAATAGATTAGAGATATCTAAGATAATATATATAAAGAACTTAAATTTATCTAATAATAAATATTAAAATTTAATAATAAATAAAGGATTAAGGGACTAACCTTAAAAGAGGGAGATAGCACCTATTTTATATAGTAAAATATTAAAATAAAGCAACTAAGTAATAAACTTAACTATAAAAAACTTAAACCTTTTAAAGTCTTATAAGTTATCTTACTAGTTAACTATAAACTTAAACTCCTAAAAACTATAAAATATTACTTAGTATTCTATATTTCACTCTTTAAGCTAGCACTATAAGGATTATAAATAAATAACCTTATTATTATAGAAGATAATAAACTAGAGTATAAAGTAGAGAAGCTATTAGACTACTAGTATAGAGATAATAAATAGGAATATCTTATTAAATAGAAAAAATTATAGATATAAAGATAATATATAGGAACTTAATAATAACCTACTTAACTATTAAGATAAGATTAATAAGTATATTAGAATACTTAATTATATTAACCCTTAAGATAGATTAAGTCTATTTATAACCTTAGAGGAATTTAAAGAATATATAAAATAAGCTAATAAAAGAGAAGAATAAATATAAGAAGAACTATAATAAAAATAAAGAGAAGCTAAGGAATAAAGAATATAACTTCTATTTCTATAGTTATAGTTAGAACGCTTTTAGCTAACCTAACTAGGAAAATTATTTATTTAATTAGGAATACTAAAATATAATTAAGACTCCCCTAATAAGAAATTTAGAATATTAGGATTCTAGTTAAGAATTAAATTTAAGTCTAAAACGCTAAAACTACCTATAGACTAAACCTTTAATATAGGAGATATTACTAGCCCCTCTTCTATAACCTCCTAACCTCTTTAAAATACTATCTTTTTCTACTTATATAAATAATTTAACTATACTATAAACTTATCTAACTTAGTTTATATAGTATATAGAATAGCTACTTTCTTTCTTAATACTTCCTCTTTAGCTACTTTAGTATTTTTTAAATAAGTAGCTTTATCTAGTAAATAATTAACTAGGATAAGTTAGTATTAAATAGGAAAAAATAATAAAAAGAAACTTATAAGTATAAATAATATCTACTACTATATTATAAGATTACCCTAAATAAGTATACTTACTATAAACTTCACTACTAGGGAGAAACTTATAATACTTCCCTAAAAAATAATAATAGGAATAAGGTATATTAATAACTAAACTAAACTTAGTAATATATAAAGCATAGTTATAATAACGAAGAGTAGAGGTAGTATTTAATTTTAATTTCTAAATGTAACCTAATATAGTATTAGTATTATAAGTAAGTTAGGAAGTATAATTAATAGATCCTTAACTTAAGACTAATAACCTATTTATATTAGGTCTTAAAGATAAGACCTTTAGAGAGGGGACCTAATATTATAACCTATTATATATAGATAATAGTTAACTAACCTATTTAGGTATTAGGTAGCTAGGATAGAATATTTATACTATAGGATTATAGGAATAGTAGGGACTCACTTAGTATAGAAGAACTATAATATAAGTTATATAATAATAAGATAAGGAAATAATTAGTAGAGTATAGGAAAGAATACTTAGTAATTAGTTAGCTATATTAACTAATTATAATTACCTTATATACCTAAGTAATCACTTTTAGGTAGATAAAAAATACTATTTAGGACTTATATATAGTATAACCCTAAGCTTAGTCTATAGTTAGACTTCTATAGCTCTTTAGTAATTAACTTCTTAGTATTTATCCTTATAGATACTCTTAGTTTACTTTTACTGCGAATTACTTATTAAGTTTAAGACTAATTACCTTAGTCTCTAAAAAACCTAATCTACTATAGCTTATAACCTATAACTTAGACTATAACCTTAGTATACTGTTATAATGTGTTAATCCCTAGCTTCTAGTAGTAGACCTTACTGTTGGATAGCTGACTATAATATATCACTTTAGCGACTGTAATATGCGAACTTTATATGACGCTATCAAGGACACTGGAAAAGATCTTAGAAACGCATTTGTATCCCTCTGTATTCGCAAGACTCTATTTTATAAAGAATTCTTTTATAAATACTTATATAACTAGGGATATATAAGAGGACCCCCCTACTCTAACTACCTCCTATATATCTAACCACCTTATTAACTACTACTATATTATAGTAATTATATATATATCCTTAAGTTCCTTTAATAGGGTACTATACTTTAATAATATAAGATACTTAATTTAATTAATATTATATAGCTTATTTATCTTAAATTTTATTTCGATTTATTTAAAATATCTCTATACTTTAACTTAAAAATATATCGTCTTATTAAGGTATATTAGTAGAAAGTAGTAGTATATTTAATATACTATTAAACCTTATACTAAGGGACTAGGTTATATATATAAAAATCTATATATTTTATCCTAGTTATTTTAAGTAATTATAAAGAGGCTATTATTACTCTTAAAGTAGTAATAATAGATAGTATTAATATAATATAGTAATAATATCTTAATATTAAAGGAGTAATAGGTTATAGTAATATAAAGAGGGAGATACCTACCCCCTATATATATATAAAGCGATTCACACTCTCTTTATATACCCCTATAGGTAGCTATAGAGGTTTCTCTATAAGCTATCCTAGCCCTCAAATATTTCCCCGTGAGAGTTATACAGCAGTCAACAAGGTGCGCCTCTAGGCGGCAAACTGCGAAGAAGAAAAGTTAGAAGGGAAGAAATATTCGCAAGACTCTTAGACACAAGAGAACTTCATCAGTATGCACGCTGTTTACCATTGATGCATTGGGCAACCGACTCTCTGGGCATTTAACCCTGTGCATGTATCAGGATGCATCATCTAGAGTTGACGTGGAAGAAACCCTGATTGGGGCTTGCATGTCTTCTTCCGCCCTTGCATTTTGCGACCAGGGTTCGGCTTAGTCTAATCCACATGTCATCTACCAACCTATGAGAGCCCCCAGCCTATTGTTGGGTACGACCGATCGCAATGTCGACCGATTCCAAGCCTCTTCAGTCCACCTTTAAAACTCTGCATTTGCAACGGCCGCCAGTTCCTAATCATGGCGTACGACCGAAGCGAATTCGTGCGTCTCTTAACAGACTACTACAACTTCTGCAACCGCGTCTTTTGGAACGCTACTGTCGCGCAGGCGCCCTCCGGCGGCTGGACCTCGATCAACCAGGAAACTCTAGCCCCCCTCAAGAGAAACGACACTGTTCTTGACCTCCTCCGCTACATCCCCTACATCGACTCTCCCGGCAACAACCTCGCCCTATCGCCGTTCGTCATGAAAGAAACTCCCGTGACTGACTACCGCAGCGAGGACTTGCAAAAAAAGATTCGCGAGGACTACATTGAAGGCCCGGTCGAGGCCATCACTGGTCAGGACCCGCCGCTCCCGCCCTCGTGCGCCGTAATCGCTATCTGCAGGAGCCGAAATGGTTACGAGGTCATCCTGGACACTGCCGACGGTTATATCTACTGGAGAGAGCCGACCGGACGGCATGACGAGCCTGCTCCCGCGCTGAACAGCACCCTGGAGCGGTTTCGCGGTGACCCGGCGAATGAGTGGCGGCTCGCCGGATTCAACGTATACGAGCCCGCTGACTTTTTCGCACTCTGCAAGGAGCGGTACCGAAACCTCAGCTGGATTGGCCTCGGGCCGTTAAATATGTCCGTGATGAGAAGGAACATGAACTGGGAGTACGAGTCGGACCCTGACTCCGATTCAGACCCAGAGGATGACTTTAGCCACAACAAGATAGCCAGGAAGATGAAGAAGGCTGGATGGCCTGGCGATGGGGAGGGGCGCGGGTGGGATAGGGAGAAGTTTGAAAGACTACTCGACCAAGGCAACAATGGGCAAAAATGAAGAAGCTGCATGGAGTATTAAATGACACCAATATAGCATCATCACGACGCTGCAATATTTGAACTCTTCTAGTTGATGGTAGAGCTATACTTTGGTCGTCACTGTAGACTTAAGAGCGGTAGCGACCCTTTCTAGTCCAGTTAGTAGCTGAACTTCCTGAGAGAACACAACGCGGAACCACCCAACGCGCTCAAAACCAAAGTCTTTTCCGGAACAGACGTAGACTTTGTATTTCAAGAAAAGTTTGATCAGGAAATCATCTAGCTCTTCATCGGTTACAGCCCCAGGGTTATGTCTCTTCCAAACACTCCCGAGATCAGCCCACATAAAAAACGCCGGGTTCGTACCGGGTGCGTAGGGAATACTCTGAATCTTTGCCCAGCGAGCGAGAAGCTGGTATCTGTCGGCAAGCCTTGTCCTGTTTTCTTGGATGAAGGAGTCTGACCACTTCTTATCTTCGACGATATTTCTGCAATATGATCCAACGCAGAATATGGGGACCTATAAAGAGCTACAGCCACTGAAGCTTTGTGCGGAGACGGATTGAACTGGGAGATCACAGCGCCGATCCGCAGTCCGTTAGCGCCAAAATCCTTCGACATACCCCAGATTGCATGGATTTGGTCGGGAGCGAGTACGCCATCTCCGTTGAGTGACAGACTCGATTCGAAAAGCACTGGTTTGGACCCCTAATCCACTTTGTTCTCCCAGACTGACAAGGCCTTTATTTCGTCGCTGATGAAGTGAATATCGTTCTCGGAGCAAAAGGTCACTAGGCTCAGGAGGCTGGCGCGAGAGTAGCATCTTCCAACAGGGTTATGTGGGCTCGATATGATTAGGCCCGCGACTCTCTGGCCCTCTGCGGCTGGTGATTCAAGGGCACGCCCATAATGGCCAACTGTCCCAGGGTCCATGGGATCGGTGTTGTCAAAGGCCACCGGAATGACGTTGCAACCGGTTCTGAGAACCAGGTCTGGGACAAAGGTGTTATGGTAAGACCGGCCAAGCAGACATGCGTCGCCGGGGTTTGCTACAGCCCAGGCAAGGTGCTCAATCGCAGAGTTGCAACCGTTTGTGATTGTAAAATACACTTATTCAAGGGACTTCGAGGGGTGCAAGTGACGGTTGAGGAATGTCGTAACGCCGAGAGCAAGTGCATCTACCTGGTAGACACGGATCCGCCAGCTCCACATCCAGCCAGCGGATAGATCAAGACGTAGGACGACTACAATCAGGACGAGGTTGTCAAGGTACACCCGAATATGGGTCCATGAATTTGAAGTCATACCTATCCTTGAGTCTGAGCTGACATATCTGACCCGGCAGGACAACGATTATCTCAAGATAGGCTACATCTTCTGTAAGGCGATCAACAAGGCTGCTAATGCTAGGAACCTCGTTGAAACTGGCGAAACGAACAGTGGCTGAACCATTTGAGACAAGTCTGAGAGCAATGGAATGGGCGCTGGCGGATTTACTCAGCGCGGAAGCCGCAACCATGATGGCATCTACTACCACAACAGCGAAGAGAAAGGTGTAAGTACTGGAATAGGGTTTAGTGGGCCCACTGGATTTTTCGGCGTTTTTAGCGTTTAGAGGTTAGATTACTAGCCTCTTTTAAGAGGTAAGAAGTTAGCTTAGATATTATTACTAATCCTTATAGATTAGAAGTAGAATTTACTTATTTNGATTTTTAAGCTTTTAATCCTATTCTTTTTGTTTTAGATCTATAAAGTAAATAAGAAGTCTTTTCCTTTTTCTTTTAAAATTATAAGTTTTAAAACTATAGAGTTATATAACTATAGTAGCTCTATATACTTTTAAGTATATATATACTACTACGCTATATAGCTCTTAGCTACTAAGCTTATAACTATTTTAATAGTACTTAGAGGTAGATTCTTTCTTCTTTTAGATACTTATAAGAGGTACTAGAGAAAAGCCTACTCTTATACTAAGTAAATAGATTAATATAATATATATAATAACTATAACTATTATTACTAGCTATATAATACTAAAAAATATAATATATTAATAGGAGTTAGGTAGTTATTTATAAACTTAATTTATAATAAGTAGAGAAGTATAATAACTAAGTATAATTTTAGTAATAAGAATATAAAGATATAAAAAAACCTTAAAAAAAACTTTAAAAGTATTATAGTTTATATAATAGGAAGTATTAGATTTTTATTTATTTTTATTTTTATTACTTTTTAATATTATAAGCTATTAAGGTGTTATAACCTGTTATGTATAGATAATAGTTGACTGACCTACTTAGGTGTTGGGTAGCTAGGATAGGATATTTATACTATAGAATTAAAGGGAATAATAGGGACTTACTTAGAATAGAAGAATTATAGTATAAGTTATGTGATAATAAGATAAGAGAACGATTAGTAGAGTATAGGAAGAAATACTTAGTGATTAGTTAGTATTATTAACTAATTATAATTACTTATATACCTAGGTAATTACCTAAAAATAGATAAAAGATACTATTTAGGACTTATATATAGTATAACCTAAGCTTTACTTAAGGTTAGACTTCTATAGCTTTTTAGTAATTAACTTAATATTTATCCTTATAGATACTCTTAGCTTACTTTTACTATAAATTACTTATTAAGCTTAAGACTAATTACTTTAGTCTCTAAAAGACCTAATCTACTATAGCTTATAACTTATAACTTAGATTATAACCTCAGTATATTATTATAATATATTAATCTCTAGCTTCTATTAGTAAACCTTACTATTAGATAGCTAATTATAATACTTTAATTACTCTTATTTAGTAAGTTAACTATTAATACCTATTAATAGTGAAAACGATAAGTATATCTTTATATACCTCTACTAAGTTACTTACTCTAGGGACCTCCTCCTCTTTATAGTAGTTAGTTTAGAACTTAGCTAAAGAACTTAAAGGAGCCTTTATAGTAGTGGACTCTAATAATAAGGTAACCCTAAAGAAAGACACTTATAAACGCTTTTAAACTAGAGTTAAGAAAAGAGATAATAATATCACTAAGGTTTAAACTATATATAATAATACTACTATAAAACTTTAAAGCTTTAAAGAAATAATATAATAACTAAGAAATAGCCCTTAATATATTATAGACCTAGAAAATAAAGTTATCTAATTTAGAGGATAAAATAGGAATACTAATATTAAAGAACTTTAGGAAGAAATCTATACTTTATATATAGCTACTAATATTATTATAACCTCTACTAGAGGATAATAGAAGTTTAAACTTAGTGCTCTAATTATTTATAATAGTACTTCTAGATAACTTAAGTTATTCTTAATCTAAGTTAAAAACTATTAGAACTTCTATTATAGAGATTTTATAAGCTAAATTAAGAAAGTTATCTATACTACTATTTACCTATAAGGATAAGCTTTTAAATAGTTTAAACTTATTTAAGAAGAGTTCTTTAAGTATAAAACCTTAGATAAATACTCTATTAAGACTTATAATATTTATAGTAGTTTTAAGGGATTTAAAGATACTTTCTACTCTCTCTTTTAAAACCCTAATAAGAAATAATAAGCTAAGAGAGACCTTATATAGCTATAATAGATAAAGTTAACTAAAGAATATATTGCTATATTTAGATAACTTAGTGTCTAACTTAACCTTACTAAAGAAATTAAGATCTTTATATTTTATTAAGGACTTAAGGATAAAGTTAAAAATAAGATTATTAAGATNCTTTATATTTTATTAAGGACTTAAGGATAAAGTTAAAAATAAGATTATTAAGATTAACTATTCTAAAGACTTTCTTTAGTATACTGACCTAGCTATTAAGATTAATAATTAACTTTTTAAATACTATAAGGAAAAAGGTGAAAAAAGATAAGGATTAAACTTTAGATATAAGTACTAATAGTAGCTTTATTAGAAGTTTAGCCCTTAGTAGAATAACTATAGACCTTATAATAACTAAAATAATACCTACTAGAGTACTACTTATAGATAATATAGTAGACCTATAGATTTTAGTATAATAATTAAATTTAATAATAAAAAACCTTAGAACTTTAAGTGTTATAACTATAGTAAATAAAGATATATTACTAGAAACTATAAGTAGCTTAAGAAGCTTCTCTAGAAGTTAGTAGCTAAACGATTATAATAAGTTAATATTATTATAAAAACTTTATATATATCTTAGTTTTAAACTAAATACTATAATAATAATTATTAAATCTACTTTAAAGATAAAGAAATATTAGGATATTACTTAAGGGATAGTAACCTTAGATGTTTTAGATATAATATAACTACTTTAGATATACGTCTAAGAACTTTAGTAATAATATATACTAGTAATAGTAAGATCTAAAGGAAAACTAGAGAATAACTAGATAAAATGCTCTAAATATAGTAACTCTAACTAATTCCTAGTTCTATTTTAAAAATAACTAATAGCTAAGGTTAGACTAATTATAGATTTCTAAACTAAACTACCTATATAATACCTAAAGAACTAGAGAGTAATAATAAATAGAGATTTTTATACCTCTAGGTAGCTAAAAAAATATATTTAGAAAGAATTTAGGAAGAGCTTTATAACCTATTTTAGGAAAGATAACTTAGTGTTATACTTTTATATATAGAATAAAGGAAGTAGGTATATAGAAATCCTACTAGAATTAAATAAATTAATTAAGAACTCTAAAAATAGATAAGGGAAGAATTTAATAATAAACTAGATTATTAATATAACTTCTTAGAGGAATAATAACTATTTAATCTTATAAATAATTAAACTTTTAGGAAAGGAGAAAGCTCTCTTTATAATTTAAATAAACTTTATAATATTATATACTAATATACTTAAGTAGAGATTATTTATAGGCTTACTCTTAGTGTAGATAATATTAGCTCTAAAGAGGAATTTAAGAAAGATAATATATCTAAGTAAATTATATATAAGTAAATTAATTTATATAATAATAAATAATTTATTAAGCTTTATAGTATACCTAATATAAGATTAAGAATATATTATATTT